TTTTTTTTTTTTTTTTTTTCTTGTTATCTGATGTTGATACTACCACCATTCTTTTTCTTCTTTTTTTCTCCTCCCTTTGATCTTCGTTCTTTTCACATAACCATAAACTCCTTTAAAGTTTATTTTAACGTTTTTTTTTCCTGCGAGTGTTTTTTTTTTCCTTTTTTTGTTTTTTTTCCTTTTTATTTTATATATAGATATATATATATATTGCTTTTTTCTTTCTCTTTTTTCCCCAACCATTTACAGACGCCCACAATTCCACAACCAAACACACCCTTTCACCCTGCGCATATTTATGTGTGTGTTTGTCCGAATGTATTTGTATTGCTGTAGATCTCCCCATTTTTATCCCCTTTTCTCTCCGTGTTTTTTTTTTCGTTTTTTTTTTCTTTTTTTTTTTTTTTTTTTTGAGGGGGTGAGGGTCTCTCTCTCTTTCTTTCTTTCTTTCGGTTTAGTTTTTCCTCTTTGTCTTCTTTTTTTTCCCCTCTATATTCAATATATGTATATATATACATGTATGTATGCAGGTATTTCCGCTGTGCTTTTTTTTTTTTCGTTTTCATCAAATAATAATAAAAAAAAAATAATCATAATCATAATAATAATAAGACACAGAGACATACACACACATGTAGATATATACATACATACATGAAACGACAGACAAAGTTTTTTGAAGAAACCTATTTGCTATTAACAGATAAGGGAGTACACAATGATAATCTTGCTTTCATCATTACTCTTTTTCACATCTCCTTTCCTCTACTGCTACGGCTTGCATCCCTACTCTTTTAGGTTCCTTTTTTTTCTTTTTCTTTTTTTTTTGCCGGCCCACTGACGTACGGTACAGATACCAATCATCATCAATCAGCAACAATATATTTAGTAAAACATCTGTGGAATCATTCCAAGTCCCTGTACTGGATAAGGCATCATTCCCATCATCCCTGTAAGCGGACTGCCGAGTCGTTGCATTGCTGCAGCACTACTTTGAAATACCTCAATATAGCGATTGCCCATCGCCCCTCCATTCTTGTCCAAAGCTGCCGCAACATCACCCTCATCCTCCAATTCCACAAAAGCTTCCCCGGTAGGACGATTCTGTTCATTGTAGACCATATGCACCCCTTGCGGTGGGATCTTCACACCAGTGAAAAACTCCGCTATGGACTCTTCTGTCGCCGTATATGGCACACCGCGAATGCGAACTACATGCGTACTTGGTTGCCGTGGAGCCATAAGAGACGATTGCCCTGGAAACATGGAGAAGAGCGGCTGGGCACCTGCGCCTGCTGGGTACGGTGCTGGTGGCCCTCCTGCCATCCGATCATGCGGGTTAAACTGCTGCTGTTGATGGTGCATGTGCTGCTGCTCTGGGGTGAAGAGGTGTGGGAAGTAGCCCATGTAGGTGGCGAGGAGGGGATCGATGTAACCCATCGGCCCCATCGCCCCGCCCGGACCGCCGCCGGGCCCCATCGCCCCCATCGCCGCCGCCCCGCCGGAGCCCCCGCGGCCGCCGCCCCCCCGCCGCTCCCGCCGGCTCCGGAGGCTCGCGGCCCGCATGATCGCATCGCGGTCGTACACCGTCGACGAGAGCACCTCAATGTAGCGCGAGCCCATCGTCTTGTTGTGCAGCTGCTTCGCCTGCTCCACGTCCTCCTCGCTGGCGAGCTCCACGAAGGCATCGCCGGTGTTGCGGCCCTCCAGATCGCGGCAGATGTCCACACGCACCACGCCCTTCACGGACTTGATGAACTCCGTCACATCCTCCTCCGTGGAGGTGAAGGGGAGACCGCGAAGGCGGAGAACATGGACCTTGCAGCTCTGCTCCTGCTGCTCAAGTGTTTGTTGACGATCCTCTTCACTAGACGCCGCAAGTTCCACATAGCGAGTGGGGTCAATGTGTTGACGGTGTAGTTTTTGAATGGCCAGAGGAACATCCTCGGCACGTTTGAGGCGAATAAATCCTGTACCGCGGTGGAGACCCTCTGTGAAGTACAAGATGGGTTCCTTTTCCGCAAGTTCAAAGTCCGCAAAGAAAGTGCGGATGTGTTCTTCCTTTATAGAGTATGGCAGACCGTGCAGGCGCAGCACACGCGACGACTCGGTGGATTGAGTTTTTTCTTCATTCGCCTCATTATGTGTCTGATTTTGGGTATCATTTTCTACACCATTATGAGAACCACCTTGTTGTTGTTGTTGTTCATCTTGTTCTTGTTGTTGTTGTTCTGGCTGGGGTTCTCCTTCTTGTTGTTGCTGTTGATTCTCCTGTTGTTCCTCCTTTATCTTCTCCATTGTGGGCAGTTCGGCTGGTGCTTCCATCTGATGTCCTCCTCAAAAAATTACAATATTCTTGACACGGAATGTGAAGAAAATGAAAATGGTTATTACCAGCTCAAGTATATACAAATATATATATATATATATATAGATAGATAGATAGATAATATATATATATACTTATATATATGTGTTGTAAATGACACTATATATTTTTGTTACACAAAACCGACCCAAATCCAAAGAATGAGGAAAAGAAAAAAAAAAAAAGAAGATTGTGTGGTAAAATCAAGTAAATAATGAAAAAAAGAAAATCTGAGAAAACTAGAAATAATGTAGTCCTCTATCTTTTCTTTTTTTGCTTTTTTTTTCCTTTTTTTTTTTTCTTCTTCTTCTTCTCTCTCTCAATCCGTGTTTCTTTGTATTGTTACGAGTTCCTTCAAAATAAACAATAATTACAAGAACCTATTTCCCTTTGAATAGAAAACAAAACAACAAAGAAGAATAAAAAGAAAAAAAGAAAATGTCCTTTTTTTATTTTCTTCAACCTACTTTGCTGATGCGGATTTCGTTTCTATTTTGTTTCTTCCTCCCTCCTTTCCCTAAATAACTCTCTCTTTTTAATCTCTTCCAATGACAATACACCCTTCAATAGCTTTTCTTTATTTTGTTTTTCTTACCGCTGCCTTGTGAATCACCGAATCAAACCCTAGATTAAACCCAGTAAGCCACAAAAAAGAATTTAAAAAAACACTACAAAAAGAACCTTAAAAAAATTATATACAATGCGTAGCGTATACGTATTATAAGAAATTAAAGACATAGAGAAGAGGAAAAGAAAAGAAAAAAAAAAAAAAAAAACGTTAATTGCAAGCAGTGGTAAATAATACACTTATACAGCATATGAAGAAGAGAATAACAAACATGTATTTCCCCATTAAGTTTCCTTCTCATGTCAACGAGATACTCACTCTTTTTCTTCCTCTTCTAAAATTCCAAAAAAATGCAGCAACAACACGAGATAACAAATACCAGAAAAAAAAAAAAATAATAACAATAGTCATAATGATAAACAAGAAGAGTAAAAAATGACTCCATGCATGTGTGAAGAAAATAAATAATTTTTTTTAAAAAAAAAAAAACAAAGGGTCCATATACCCCCACAAACAGATGCAGAAACGTACATTTTTCAATTTTCATTTATCAAATTTCTTTATGGTAATTGTCTTCTCTGGGATTTTTCATTATTCCACCATACTTCATCCCCTTGTTCTCTATATCCTCTTCTTATTTATTTTTTCTTTCTTTTGTTTGACCTTTAATCCCCTTTTTCCTTTGCCGTCTCTCCTTGTGTAAAGAGCAGTGCCGTATTCACACCACCAAATCCAAAACTTGTTGAGATAACCGCCTCTCCACGAAATTCATGTGGAGTCTGACCTTTTGGTAGAATTATACACTCCATATCTGTGGCAGATGGGGTTTCTAAATTCACATTGGGTGGTGCAAGTTGATGGTAAAGAGCTTTAATAGCCACAATCGCCTCTACACTACCTGCTGCCCCTAAAAGATGACCAATCGCACCTTTTACACTACTCACACATAATGGTCTACTCCGTTCTCTTTTACTGTTACTCCCACTATTATCATGACTATCATTATGACCAGTATTATTATTATTATTATTATTATTATTATTATTATTGTGATTCAACACAGCATCAAGTGCTCGCAGTTCTATATCATCACCAATTGTCCCTGTGGCGTGTGCATTCACATACACCACGGCCTCTGCTGGCACACCACCACTGTCGAGTAGTGCCGATCGCACACACAACTGCGCGCCTCTTCCCTGCGGGTGTGGGGCGGCAATATCATGTGCATCACTTGCGAGTCCAACCCCGCGTAACTCCGCAAAGGCGGTTGCCCCTCGTCTCTGTGCGTGTTCGTGTTCCTCCAGCACAACTACACCGCATCCCTCGCCCATCACAAACCCGCCGCGTGCGGAATCAAATGGACGTGAGGCGGCATGTGGACGGTCGTTGTATTTTGTGCAGAGTGCCCGCATGCGCCCAAAGCCCGCCATCGCCACTGGCGTCACGCAGGCCTCTGCAGCTCCGCAGATCACAACATCCGCCCGCCCGCTGCGAATCCACGAGGCCGCCTCCGCCAAACACTGCGCGCCAGTCGCACACGCCGCCACGCCGCTGCCAACAGGGCCGGTGAGACCGTAGCGGATGGCCGTTAAACCAGCAGGTGTGTTCCCAAGGATCTTTGGCACAAAGAAGGGATTCACACGGCTGTAGTTTACACGTAAGGGATCAGCGTATAGATTGTACGCAACATCACTGACATCCGCAAGGGAAGGGATTCCCACACCAATGTTCACACCAATGCGGTCCATCGCACACGGTGCGTGAAAACGTTTCCCATCGGCTTCTAGAATTCCTGCATGTATGAGTGCTTCTTCCACAGCATGATGTGTAAACAAGGTGGCGCGGGACTCACGTGAGGTTGGTGCAAACATATTCTGAGATGATTCCCCTCCTTCTGCATTTATTGTTGTTTTTGTTGTTGGCATAACCGCAGCCGCTACTTGACATGGCATGGCAGTTAACAATTGTTGACGACACTTTACTTTCGCTTCTTCTGAGAGTCGACGATCCGTTTCCAAACATGCGGGAAAAAAGAAAGGGGCTTCCGCCAAAGAGCGAGTAGCGGAAATGCCTTTACAGAGTCCAGCCCAAGTGGAGGCGACGGAGTGACCGAGTGGAGTGACTGCCCCAAGGCCAGTAACAACAACTCGACGACGCGGCTGCGGAGGAAATGCTCCAAACGGCATTTTTTTCAATCTTTCCAGAGATTCACCTGATTTTTTTCTTTTTTTTTTTTTTTCTTTTCTCTTTACTGTTATTTTGGTTTTTTGATACCACTATTCAACAGCTTGTCCACGTCAGAGAATCCACCAAAGATCAGAAAAGGATTAAAGATAAATAAAAGTAAAAGGAAAAACAATAAAAAAAAATAATAATAAATACGATAGTGTAGTAAAATCAGTAAATTAAAAAAAAAAAAGTATCACGCAACACCAGGATGCAAGTCCCGTTTAAGAAGAACTACTGTACGAACAACACCAATATGTGAAGTGTGTCGAGTTAAGTAAAGGGATGCTTCTCGTTTTTCATTAGGAACAAAAAATATTGCCAAAGAGGTAAGGTAGCAAAAAGCAAATAATACTAGCGTTAGTATTTGTCCATTCTCTAACTTTACCACAGAGTGTAATAATGAGATTTTGGGCTTTAATCTACTCTAGTGATACACAGGGTGGTACCATGGAGATGGGTGATAAAAGATGTAGTACTACATGCGTATTTATATATATATATATTTTTCATCACAGTTCTATTGTAAAGGTTTACACCAATCATCCTTTCTGTTCACCGTTACTTTACATGTTCTTTTTGTCTTTCTTTCTTTGTTTTTATAAACAGCTATAGTAATAGTAATGAGAAATATACATTATTTCCCACATGCGAAAAAAAAAAATAAGGGAAATAAGAAAAAATATTAATAATAATAAATAATAAAGGAATAAATAAACAAAAGAAAGAGAGCCAATATCTTTATCTCTTTTTTTTTTTTTTTTTGATTAATTACACCACAAAAAACTTCCACCAGTTCTTTTTCTTTTTTTTTTCTTCTCCCATCTCATCTCATCTCATCTCCTTCTTGAGTAGACTGCCTGTGTGGTGGCCTGTTGTGTATAGGACCCCTTCGTCACTGACCGTGAGGGTTTGTAATTCCGTAAACCCGGCAAGACATGACCAGAAACCAATAACAATTGATCCCAAACACCATCCACACTTTGTGCACCTTTTTCTTTTGAGGAAACTGCACGAGCCCGCAGCATGCGGGATTCCAACATACTCCGCTGCACCGCCAAAACCCCTTCACCCCGTTTAATTGCTGCTGTGATCATCTTTGGACTGCTGAGATGCCGACGGCGGTGAAATTCATTCTGTAGTCGAAATCGCAAATCCGCCTGTTCCTGCGGTGGGTATTGGTGAATGAGGCGGAGAAAGTCGCGGTAGAGGTGGAGGACGTCCTGAGCTCGATAGGGGAAGTTGTGAAAGGACGGCACAGTGGTGCCCAACACCTGCTGGGGCTGTTTACTGTAAAGTACCAGAGCCAGACGAAGCATAAGAAGTAACGCTATTGGGAATAACCACAACTAATACTCTTAGATGTAGAATAAGAAGAGCCTTGTTTTTTTCTCTTTTATGTTTTTTGTTTTCTTTTTTTTTTTCTTTTCTGTGCTGTTTTTTTATTAGGGTGCCATTATCAGTCATAATGGTTTACAAAGGAAATGACGTATATACATACATCAATATATACAGTGAGAGAAAGAAAAGAGAGAGAGAGAAAGTGAAGAATTTAATCATATAATTAACAACAAGAAGAATAAATATGACTATATAATATCTCTCTCTCTCTCTATATATATATATATCCTTCAGTCATTGTTGATACAACCCCCCACTCCCTTGTCACTCCGTGCATCTCTATGTAAAAAAAAAAGAGTGAGAGGTATAACGTGAATAGGAACATCAATTGATAATGGGGTGAAGAAGTAAAATAAATAAATAAAAAATGAAAAAAAAGAAAAATAAAAAAAAGAAAAGTGAAAAGAAAAAAGTGAAAAGTGAAAAGTGGGTGAAAAATCAATTCATACAAGAACCCCTAAAAAGAAAAAGAAAAAACACAAGATACACAGTTTGATACTTTATTGTATCTATCGTTGTAATGTATATATATGTACATGTGCTCATATCCCGTCTACACTTCTATCTATCTACTAATTTTTTTTTCTTTATTCCTTTCACTATTTTTTTTTTCTTTTTCTTTCTTTTCTTTGAATCTTTGTTTACCAAAAAAAAAAAAGCAATGATGCTTCTATATTTCTATTAAATAAACTGAATCCAACCATCTCCGTCAGATTCTTCATACACAAAGCTGTCTCCTTGAAGTTTTAAAACCACTCTTTGCAAATGATCCATAGTTGTGGCTTCTGTAATAGCTGTAGTATTACTACCGCCTTTCAATCTCTTATGTAATTCCGACAAGCGAACAGAGAGATGTTGTTCTCTTTGTATTTCTCGCAGGAGTTCCGTTACCCGCCTTTCAATAAAGAGATTCGTATTGGCATCTGTTAATAAAGTGTCGTTATTATGACCGGCCTCAGCTTCCACTTCAGTTAACGCCGCCCCATCCACTTCAAGACGAGCACGTGTATTATTATTATTATTATTATTATTATTATTATTATTATTATTTACACCGCCTTGTAATGCCTGAACTCCACGTTTATTCCCTGGACGATTTTCTGCCGCCGTTGCATGATTATCCTCATCCCGCTGCATAGCGGCTGTTGAGGCTGCATGTACAGAAGCCCGTAATAACTCCATTGCACTGGTGACATCTTCCTCATCTACTGTAGATGAGAGACGTAGTTTAGCATTTGCAGATGAAAGACGTACTATGGCTTCTAATGTACGTGCCGTAACAAAGAAACCATCTTTAGATCCTTCTTGTTGTTGTTCTGCACGTAATTGCACATAATGTTGACTGACCAATTGTTGAGAGGCTTCTGTAAGTAATGGTTGGCCTTGTTTAGCGAGTTGTACATAGGCACGTAAAAAGTCAACCCCCACAATAGGTTCTCCCGTACTTGTGGAGGACATTCGAAAGTCCATTCCACCACCACTACTAACACTAGAACCACCACCACTAGTATTATTTCCATTATTATTTTTTGCAGACTGTGCCCAAACAGATTCTACACTATCCACAACTGTTTTCGTTACGGTCTGATCAATTCCTACAGGAGTTGCCGTCATATGATTACGAAGAATATGTCTACCAATACGTCGATTATGTTCAGAAGAGTGTTTATCCAAGACAATAAAGATAAGATCAAAACGAGAAAGTAGAGATTCTGGTAATCCAACATTAAAAGCAAGACGATGATGTACACTGTAAAATCCATAAATAGGATTTGCAGCTGCTAATACACTACAACGTGCATTAAGAGAAGCATGAATACCAGCTTTCGCAATTGTTACGGTTTGTTGTTCCATCGCTTCATGCATAGCCACTCGATCTTGTGCGCTCATCTTATCAAACTCATCAATACACAATATACCACGATCTGCTAATACCATCGCTCCTGCAGAGAGTGAACGTTCACCGGTGTAGGAATCTACAGAAACCGCAGCGGTGAGTCCAACACCGGAGGAACCTTTACCAGTTGTATTAAGTGCTAATGGAGATACACCAAGTACAAATCGTAGTAATTGTGATTTCGCCGTAGATGGTTCACCCACAAGAAGAACGTTAATATCTCCACGAACATGTGATTGATGAGCTTGACGTTCTACTCCACCGACCATAAGTAATAATACCGCTTTCTTTTCATACGTCATTCCATAAATTGTAGGAGCCACAGCTTTACTTAATGCGTTCAATACACCTGTAGGACCATCGGTTTGTATACATTTCTGTGCAAATGCGATGAGTTTCTCCTCTACTGCCGGTACACGACGATACATTGTAAAGGCCTGAAGAGGAACCACATGATTTACCAATACAATAGATTGAAAACTTTTACTATCTGATGTTGTATAGGCCATATAAACTCCAACTAACATAACACGATCTCCTGGTTTAACAACATCTACTAAATCATCATCAAATCGAAGTTCAACTGTACGTGGAAGTTGACCTGTTGGAGCTCTTTCAGGGGCTTCTTGCAAAATAGCACACTGGGAATCCATAAAAGTAGATAATCCTAATTCTGTACGTAAAAGATGTCCTTCCATATCAGTTTTGGGCATTACATTTACTGTAGGAAGATGTGTACTATCTATCATTGGAGTAAGTTGATCTCGAAATTCTTTTCGTGTAAATTTATTTGTTTCTGGACAATAATGTACAGATTCTAATACCCGTGGACGATTAGATGATTGTCGTGTAATAATACCTTCTAATGCTACCATCGTATTCAAATGTCTTGCATATAATTCTCGTGGTGATAACACAACTCCCACAGGACCTTCAAATCCAACATGTACTGCACGTGAACGGTAATCCACTTTAAGATATTCTGGTTGTTGTCTTAACACAACATCATGTAAGGCAAGTTCAAGCAGAGGTACAAATTTCCCAGGTTCTCTTATAATTCCTATACCAAGCGAATGTGGAGTGGCGGCTGTTCCTCCATTATTATTATTATTATTATTATTATTCATATTGTTATTATTATTATTATCAAAACCAGCGGAGACGGGAATAAAGTCGAGGAGATCTCCCATATCCAGTAAGAGTCGTGATTTGGCGGCGGACATCATTTCTTGTATACGTTGATGGTATTTTTCCTCATACCGCTCAGACTCGAAAAAGTCAATGAAGTGCCGCCGTATGAGGGTTTGCTCCTCCGTCAAACTGCGATTGCCGAGCATCTACACACTTGCAAAAGAGAAGAAAAAACAAAAAAAAAGAAGAAATGCAGAAATAGATAAAAAAAAAAAAATAATAATAAATGTGAAGAATAGATATAAAGGTATAATAAAATAAAAAAGAAAGAAAGACAATGAAAGAGCCATAGAGAAACAAAATAAAGGGGAGCAAGTAGTAGTAAGAAGAACAAAAAAAAAAAAAAAAAACGCACACCAGCAAAGCATACGACTGGTAAACAAACATCTCGCCCCCCTTTTTTTTTTTCTTTATTCAAGGATATAAATGTATTTCTTCTCCAAGAATATATTCTCAGAAATAAGAAAAATAAAAATAAGAATAAGAATAAAGAAAAAAAAAAGAGCAACAATAATAATAATAATAATAATAATAATAATAAGAATAATAATAATAATAATCTTACACCTCAACAATTGTCTATATTTCAGATCTCTCCCGTTTTGTACCAGCAGTACGAACACCTACTGTATCATTCTGCTCCCCACCATGGGTATTATCATATTGACGTAATTTTCGCATTAGTGCATCCACTTCTTTTTCTTTCATTTGAAGAAGATCCTCATCAATATCCCACTCATATACTAATGCCGATTCCATTCGCTTAAATGGTGTTGTCAAGACATTCGTGAGTTCATGCAGCATTTGTTTTGCTGCCGCCTCCTTTTCCTCTTCTTCTTCTCTAGTGGCGGCGGCTTTAGCGGCTGATTCCGCCTCTTTTTGCCGTAATATCATATCTGCCATTCGGGCCTCTTCTTCCATTTCTTCCTGTTGTTGTCTCTGCCGTGCGGAGCCTATTCCTTCTTGTCTATCTTGTCGATGCGAGGCGTGAAGAAGTTCCTCATCGTAATCTCTTCGCTTTTGTGGATCCGCTAATGTTTCTGCTGCGAGTTTAATACGATCAAACGCCTCTCGTGCGGCGGGTGTGGGATCTTTATCCGGGTGAAATAACAGGGCGAATCGACGATAGGCGCGTTGGACGGCATCCAAGTCAATATTCTTTGCAGTGGGATCAAGAGAAAAGATCTCGTAATACGTTAAATGCAGAACGGTGTGTTTCTGCACATGCGTGGTGTCTGTCGTCATCCTTTTAAGGTAAACTTTTTTTTTTATTTTTCTTTTTATTTTATTTTATTTTCTTTTCTTGGCTATTGTTGTTGTTGTTTTTTTATTTTTTATTTTAATTCTGTTTCTTATTTTTACTTTTTCTGCACCTGTAATATGTAATTCATATTAATAATATTCATAATAATTAAACAAGAAGAAGAGAAAAAAAAGTTCACATGATTAATGATTATTTCCAGAAGTAATAAAGAAAAGATCCAAAACTCCCAATAAATCTCCTTTTTTTTCCTCCATTTTCATCAATTTCCTTTTTTTTTCAACGAGGAATTAACACCAAAAAAAAAGAAATCGAGAAAGAATGAGAGAGAAAAGATGGCTGAAAGAGAGTATTGTATTACACCCCAAACACCCATGTACATCATTCTTCTTTTATTCTTTTGTTTTTCTTTTTTTTTTTTTTCTTTTTCTTTGCATATGTTTTTTCTTCTTTTCTTTTCTTTTCTATCCTGTTCACATATGTCTTCTCCTTTTTCTTCTTCTTCTTCAAGCTCTTTCATCCATAGGATTCTTAAATCTCCATTCTTTCCCCTACCTCAAGAATTCAGGGGGATATATATATCGAATACACGAAAGACTACATAGAGAAACAAAAACACAACCTCTATTTGGACAAGCACAATAAAAAGTATTGTTTAATCATGGAGGAAAATATCAAAAATAATTACACACATTTTTTTTTTTTCCATTTCCATTTCTACTTCTATTTTCTTCACAAAAGTGAAAAGTTATCGTCATCGTCCAAACGTGTTTCCAAAAGGCATCTTTCCAATACATCAATATTAACATCTGCCTTACTAGCCGGTAGCAACTGCACCGGTGGTAATAGCGAGGGTGATCGAAGTGGCGCCAGCACGCGACTTCCACCCCCAACCATTGCCAAATTATCTCCCAACATTCTCTCACATAAAGGTCGATTATTATTATTATTATTATTATTATTATTATTATTATTATTATTATTATTATTCGTATATGGATGATGAGCCTGATCACTACTACCAGGATGAGGTTTTCGTTGAGATGCCGCTGCGGAGGCCAAACGATCGGGCAGACCGCCCTGCCCAAAAAATTGATATCGCACCGATCCCGAACCCGCGGCGGTGTCCCACGGGGTGGTCGCCTCCGCCACCGCCTGATGCGTGGGCGATATGAAGAAGGAGGAACTCGTCTCTCTCTCATTATTATTATTATTATTATTATTAACCGCCGACCCCCGGGCTGTGGACCCAATGGAGAATAATGGTTGAGATGGATGGGATTGTTGTTGTTGTTGTTGCATATTCTTTTTTCGGAGTTTCTTATTATATGGTGCCCCAGCAGATCCAGAAACAAACGGGGTCTTTACAGCCGAACGCACTTTCCCAGCAAAAGAGGAAGAAGAAGAAGAAGATGGTCTCAACATGGGCGGTTGAAAGAAATCATCCTCTGCACATGTAAGCCACATTTGTTGTTGTTGTTGTTGTTGGTGTCGTCTTCTCCTTCGCCGGCGTATTGTGCTGGAGCTCTTCTTACTACTACGTCTACTGCTGCCGGCCTCTGAGGTGCAGGTTTCAATCACAATAGTGGTGGATGCGAAGCCGCCACCCGCGCCGTATTCATCAATGCTCCACTCTACACAGCTTGAGACCTCACGACCCACACGTCCATTCTCATTCATCACGAATATGGAAAGTAATAAATAATAATAATAATAATAATAATAATAATAATAATAATAATAATA